TTAATCGTTGATGGTTTCACAAGTAAGTAGCTTCAGTTTATTAATGCACAGTCGTGGTTAATAAACTTAAGAGGGATTAATTTTGTTGGTTAAACCGAAACCGTTGTGTTGAGGTTATCAATCTCAATTGATTTCATCAAGGAGTTAGAAAGATTAAATGCTACTATTAAATCGGTATAAGACGTTGTTCTATATTTGATTAATAGTAAGGGTTATTAATGAACGGTTGTTGTTAATAACTACCCTCGATGAAGTGGATATACTCCCCGATTGAGTATTCGAGAGGGAATAAGTTATAGATATAACAATGATCGACTAAAATATATCAACAAGTGGAAAGTAGCAATGCCAAGTCCTTTTTATCATTGAATTAAACACATATAGGTTGTTCATCTTAGTTCTTAATTAAATTAAATCACTAAATCCAAATCCCCCCTTTTTATTTACTAAGTATCATAAAAAGAGAATTATTCCTTTCCATGTGGATACGAACTCTACTACGCTATACTACGTATAAGTGTTAGTATTGAAAATTATTTTGACGCACCGTGACAAAGTGCTCGTCAAGGCACCTATATCCCACCAGCATTCATTACAACATCAATGTCCTACAAATTTTCCTAAGTCCACACTTTTGGAAAATGACAACAGCCGGAGGCTCACATATCACCCAACAACCGAAGGCATCTATTACAAATCATCAAAGGCCAACCAAGGGGGCTTATTCCAAAATAATGTCGCCCTCGGGAAATCTTAATTGGAAAACACTACTAACCGAAGGCTACACAAGGAAGCAACACTTAGAAGATTTTCTAAGTCCTGAAGATTGAGCCCCCGGCCTGATTAATATTTCAACTGAGGGACCATGATAGCCGAAGGCTACGTGATGCAACAGCACTTAGAAAATTTTCTAAGTCCTACATATTTGGCCCTCGGTCAAATATTCACACATCAGGGAGGAGGCTACCAGCCGAGGGCTTCCAATGGGAAACTACACTTAGAAATTTTTCTAAGTCCTAAGGATTGGGTTCTCAACCTAATCATCTCACAGCTATTGAACTACAAATACCCGAAGGCCCTATGGTGTGCTACACTTAGAAAAATTTCCAAGTCCCAAAAGTTCTTACCCTCGGTGACAAGTTTCTAAGTCTCGAATCTCCTCGCAGCCCGAGGGGTCACACGATTGAAGGCTTGGTGAGACTACACTTAGAAATATTTCTAAGTCCTAACTATTGCTGGGCCCTCGGTTATATATCTAGCGAAGGGTGCCCAACTACCGAAGGCTACAACTGTATTCAAACACTTAGAAAATTTTTCTAAGTCCTAAGCACCTCACCTCCGGTCATCTCATAAAGACTACATAGAACCGGAGGGAAGGATCAGCCGGGGGCCAACAGATGAACAAACACTTAGAAATATTTCTAAGTCCTGAACATTATGCTTTCGGTGAAGGGTTCAACTGACGAAAAATTACTAGTAACCGAGGACTACAAGGAGCACTACACTTGGAAGAATATTTCCTAAGTCCTAGACATACATTCAAAGGAGCAAAGGCATACATTCAAAACGAAACGAGGGCATACATTCAAGGAAAAACACTCGGAGGAAACGAACTATGCAAAAAGCCCGAAGGCAAACATTCATTCATTCAGGGAAGAGTTAAAGTATATATGTTACGATATGGCCAAGGCCGAGAGTACACGAATATCCATTACAAACAAAAAGCAAAGGTACTCAAAAGCTACTAAGTGCAAGTGTTTTCTTCTGCCGTTGTCTCCTCGGCGGGCTTCGAGGTGACCTCCTCCCCGATGGCGTCCTCGGCATCACCATCGCCGGATCCCCCCATCATCATGGAGTCATGGATCACGGGCCTCTCTTCGCCCGGGGGAGGGGGTTTCTCACGTCTTGCTGCAAAGGAGGAAGGCCATACGCCGAGGGGTCGAATTCCTCGAGGGGGACTTGGAAGTGCCTGGCCAGCCTCCGGTACACAAGGTGCTGAGTGAAGAATTCACCCCCTTGGTAGTAACTATCTCTCCTCTCCGCCATCCAGTCTCCCCCGGGGCCCTTCACCCAGTCATCTACCGATGACTCCACGACCGAGGCCACCCACTACTGCATATCTTCGGCTTTCCAGCCCTCGGCAGAATAAACAAACAACAAACTACACACAACTCTACGGGCTACAAACGGAACAACGGCAGAGGACAAACACAATTACTCCTTTTCCCTCAAGTACCTTTCGGCAAAAGGAGTGAGGGACTCCTGATGGAGTATATGGCCCGGTAACCCCCGGCCCACAGACTCCTACTACTCCAATCAAGGCCCAATAGGTCCAGAAGGCCCAACAGGTCCAAATCACAGCGCCCAGAGTACCAAGCAGCCCACAAATGCGCACCGGGGGGTGCCTACGGCCCTTGGCCGAAGGCTCTTGCTCTCACAGGAGGGTCAAGACAACAAAACAAAGTTACTGGGAAAGACGGTGAAAAACAGTAGCCCTCGGCACCTGGAGCCCTCGGCACCAGGGGGTCCCCGGTACTCAGAGCCCTCGGCTAGTCCTCTACAGCCGAGGGCACCTTTCCCGACATGATATCCGCACCACATGCGTGCAGGTCACCGTACCCTGTACAACGTCCCATCCAACAGCCGCATTAAATACGGCCACATGCGGTTGCCAGCGCCAACCAGTTGAGGTGACCCCTCGGCCAATGAACGCTCGACACGTGTCCCTGTCCGGCATTTATTGCTACTATAAATAGCACCCCATTTCCCCATTTGTAATCACGCTGAAAACGCTCCACACTTTATAATATACTTTCTCTCTCTATACTTGCTTGCTCTGACTTCTCTCTTATTATTCCCCGTAATAACCCCTCGGATAAGCTACCCCCCGGGTACACTATCCATCAATTAACTACCAGACACACTAGTTAAATAGTTTTTAGATCATGTGAGGTGAATCCAAAATATAAATTTTGTTGACATTAAATTACACAATTCATTTACTTGTTACATTCCACAAACTAATTATTGCATAGATCATAAACTTTAACATTTTTTACTATTAATGCAAATATAATATGCACCATATATATGAATCGATCAGTAATATAATATTATTCTAAAAATAATAATGTCATACATACTATTGTAATAATAAGAAAACCCTTGGCTTCATGACTCACAAACACCCTCTTTGTTAGACAAAAACGGTAATTCAAAAACCAAATCTTTATTCTAATAATGATTCATCGGGGTAAATAAGGCAAAAATTATTTAAAAAGTATTGATGGATGTATACCTTTTAAACTCTTTATCTTCAAATAACTTTCCTTTGGGTTGCTATTTCTTACGGAGTACGATTTAATGTATCAATACTTTTTTAGAGCATTTGAATTATAAAATTAAAGTTATTTTTCCGTTGTCTAAACTTAGAATGTAATAGTTTTAAATGTTGTCATGTATGTATTATTAAAAAACTTTTGAATAAAAAATTGCCGCAGAGCTTATACTGGCAAAAAAAAACGTCCCGCTACACTAGCCGGAAAAAAATCAATCACACTACACTCATAAAAAAAAATCGCCCCTCGAACAGAAATCTGGGGAGTAATATGTGTGACTGTGTCTCCTTCGTTCCATGTTAGATTCATCTTTTTGAAATAATGATTTTGTTGTTGACGAAGGTGAATAGATGTGCGTATTATGTTGCGAATGTTTCGTTGACTCCAAAGTTTTGGTTGACTCTTAACCTTCCAAATGGGATTTCAAGTTTCCAAAAAGACCTTATTTATGTCCTTTGATTGTGCCGTATGCCGGTACGCACTATAGAGTTGTCGGCTGTCGTAACCAAAAGTCAATCAATTTCTCTTCTAAACAAGACTTTGAGGCTTTTACTGTGTCAAATGCAATGAAATTTCTTTGGTACATTGGAAAAGAAATGGAGTATATAAGGTCAACTTTGGACTGTTTTTAACTTTTTATTTGCGCCAGCTTTCTCCATTTGGAAATTCTGTCATGGGTAATTGAATGTTGTCGTTTAAAGAACTAAATAAAATTCCTTATAAATAAATACAAGTAACGGATAAAGTACAAAATTTATGAACTGGAAACTGAAATCATCCGGTGAAGCAATTTCGAGAAAGCTGTTGTTTTTACAACTTTTCAAATTTTTAATCGGTTTTAAATAAAAACCACTGGATCAACCATATTAGAAATTTTATCATTGGATCGATGTATGTCCACAAATTATGAAATAAATTACACAAATGCTAAATTTTATCTTTTGTGGCTCACAAAAGAACTTCATTAAAATGAAGCAATCAATTTAATTGGGTTGGATTTTTGTGAGCCACAAACATATGATGGGGTACAAATGGGGTACAAAATGGGGTGACTAGCATTCCTCAATAAATTAACTAAATAAAAATGCTCTGTATAAGATACCAAATACTCTTATGGAGTGGTATAACATACTTTTAGCCTTTTAGGGTGTTAAACTCTCAAGTATTTGGATGTTTTGGGTGTTTTTACATGTAATGAAATTGTGTAATTTGATTTGTTTAAGTTTGATATAGTAAATGCCTAGGAGCTAAAAGAATCCAAGTAAAGACATCCTTGGTTCTATATATGGGTGGACTCGGGCCGGGTGGCCTGACCCGGAATCGGCCCGGGACCGGTACTGTTCCGGCCCGGCCCGACCCGGTGGCCCGGTCAGTGACCGGTCCGGGTAGGCCCGACCCGTGGGTATTCCGGTCCAGGCTCAGGTCACCCAAAACAAGGCCCGGCCCAGGCCCGGTTCGGGCCAAAATTGATTTTTTTTTTCAATTTTTTTTCAATTTTCAGGTTGGGCTGGGTATTTTGGACCATTTGGGGTGGTTTAGGGGGTGGGGGGTGGGGGTGGGGGGTGGGAGGGGGCTTAATTAGGAAGAGGGGGGGGGAATTGATATAGGCCCGACCCGGCCCGGCCAAGACCCGGACCGGACCCGGGCCTGACCCGGCCCGAGTCCAACTCTAGTTCTATACTTATTTTCCGGTTTCAAAAAAAAAATGGTACATATCGGAATGAAGTTTAAAAACGCTTAAATTTTAATTTTACTAACATGTAATCCCAATTCCAACAACAAAAAGCAAACAGTTTCTGATTAACTAAAAAACCAATCTTTTCTCTATACACCCCTTCCACCGTTCCACGCCCTCCCCCCATGCTCTCTATCTCTTGCTTCTCCGACCCTAATACATCCTTGAAATGCCAAACTGAATAGTCCCTACTTTTCTATGAGCAGCAGCAGCACTAGCAGCAACACCAATCCCTCCACCGTATTGACCTTTAGCCTGCTGCAGCAAATTGGTGTCGATGCTGATTCCATCACCAACATGATCTGCTTTCTTCATGCCACCCCGGGTCGCATAGAATGGGCTGCTATCAATGGTGATAGCAATATCAGGTGCCAGTTTCGCAGCCATACCACAATGAACCATTTGCTGTTTCATTTGTGTAGAAGACAGCTCACGAGTCTCGGCTGTTGCAGGCCTTTCCTGCTTAGCTGCCCCACATCTCGGATACCCATACACTGATGGCATTATCTGTGCGGTCTTGACTAGATTTCCAGTGTCGTATGGCAAGATTGGAGAGCCCACCACCTTTCCTGGTTTTGCTGCTGAGGTTCCAAGTACACAATAAGAGAATACCATAAAAGATATAGCATGGATCAAATGAATGACAGACAAGGATACCTGGGTAAATCCTCTGTTGTGACTGCAAGGTTCTTGGCAGACCCCCATCAGGTCCTCTGTAGTTTCTATTGCATGACAACTCCTCCCCGTTTTGCTGGTCTTTTGAATTAGTTTGTTTTTTAGGAAGCGTTGTAGTAGAATGTATAACCGAAGACCTGTACAGGTAGTGCATTAAGGAACACATCCAAAAATGTTCAAATTAATGTAATAGATTCGGCATAGATGCAGTAGTGTGGGCACATTCATGTAATTATGCACACAATTCAAAAATCAGCAATTACACACCTAGGAAGAGATACATGTTTTCTCTCTGCTGGAGTTATAGGCCCAGCTTTACCACCATTTTCTTCCAGGTGAGCAAACTGTTTCCGAAATTGATCAACAGCGCTGAAAAGATAGCATGGTTCACCACATTGGTGTCTTAAAATAAAAAGGCAATTGAAAAAGATTGCCAGTATGTACCTCGGATATAAAAAGTTGGCTCTTTCTCCATTCATGTAATCTTTTCTAAGCTGAGGGTGATATTCTAGTATCTCCCTGAATATTAATTCCCTTACGTCCTCCTTTGTCACCTTTCGCCTCTCAAATTCAAACTCCAGTTTGGAAATCGGGTTGCAAGATGGTTCCCTCTCAGCTTTAGCAAGTCCTCTGAAGTATGGATCAGCCAGTGCCTGACATAAGACCAAAGAGAAGGTTCAACAATCGTATTTAATTTTTTAATGTAATACAGCGGTCCTGATGAGGTAACAGTCCATTTGGAACACAGAAAATACTAAGGAAGGAGGTTAGAAAATGGAGGACAATTGTAAGGAAAGATAATTTGAGAGGATATAAAAGATAAATTCAAACTAAATAAATTTATTCAACATATTTATTTATACATTTCTGTTTTATGATAATACAAAAACTAAACAAAATTAATATATATATGATATTTTTAAAAGTTAAATAATAGTTTACAGCACTTTCCAATATAAAGCTTAACATAAGAAAACACTTTTCCTTAACCCTTTTTTTCCTTTCCCTGGCATTTCCCATGATCCAAACATACTCTAAATTGTAGAGCAAAAAATATTCAATAATAATTGAGCTCAGGATAAACCTCCTCAGCAGTGGGCCTATCCTTTGGATCAAAAGCTAAGAGCCTTTCAAGAAGACGGAGGGCCAAAGGATCAGCATTAGGAAATTTATGAGAAAAAGGAAAGGGTTGTTTCTTTCGCATACTATTGAGGTATCTTCTTGCCTTGTCATTCCTCACCTGAATCAACACACATTGATAATTAGCAACAATTACTAAAAGAGGTCACATCGCCAAATCATAGAAGGTGAGGCAAGGCTACAAACTCGTGATATGGTGTCCATTGAAGGTGTTCCAAGCAGGTCAGTCATTAAATCCAGCTGATGAACCACATTTTTGCCCGGGAATAAGGGCTTTCCACTTAAAACCTCAGCAAAGATACAGCCAATGCTCCATATATCAATAGCAGGAGTATACTGCATATATTCCACCACAAACATCACACTTATACACATTATGTCATATGTTTAGGTAATCCATGTATCAGAAAGAAAATTATCACATCACTTGCGCAATCAAACAACAATTATTAGACTTGGGATGAAGGTTGTAGTCTGTGAGAAACCAATAAGAAAATGACAGCATCCCCCACCCCCCAAAAAATGTATCCCCCCCCCCACTACATATACATTACATTCATGCATATACAGGCAACTCTGCACATGAAATTACTGCAATTAACACACCCCTCATATGAAAATAAAATTATAAAACATTTTAAATACATTTCTGACATTTTACCTTCGAGAAAAATGAACCGCACAACTCTGGAGCTCTATACCATCTTGTAGCAACATAGTCCTGAAATTCCAATACCATTGAAATTTAAAATACATGAAACAAATAAATGTAAAAAAGCTGAAACATATACAAGTATGTTTTATTATTGCATACCGTCCAAAATATTGTAGTAGGTGTATCATTAAAAGCAACTCTAGCCAACCCAAAATCACAAATTTTGAGTTTACAGTTTGCATTGGCTAAAATATTCTTCGGTTTAAGATCTCGATGATAGACATTAGCTGCAAAACATTAGCAATCAGCATTCCTCCGATTGAAATATAACTAACCACACTATATTTTAACCATTCATGGTAACAAGGAAAATGAGGACGCGCTAATTACCAGTGTGTATATATTTTAGGGCACGAAGAAGCTGATAAAGAAAAAACTGATAGTGTTCTCGAGTCAAATCATCATTAGCTTTGATGACTTGATGGAGATCTGATTCCATTAGCTCAAAGACAACATAAATATCTTTGAATTCCCGGTTTGAAGGTGGGAGCATAATATGCTTGATTTCTACTATATCAGGATGCCTTAGAAGCCTCAAAAGCTTTATCTCGCGCAGAATTCTAGCAGCATCAGATATGTGTTCAAAAATATCATGTATTTTCTTAATCGCAACCTTCTCCCCAGTATGGGTGTCAATTGCTGAGCATACAACTCCATAACTACCTTTCCCTATGACCTCATGAATCTTGTATCTATTTGCATCACCATATTCAGAGAAGAACTCCATCTCTGTTGAAGTCTGCGCAATCATAATTCAAATTAGTGGATACTCCGTACAACACAAGAAAATGGCATCATAAAGTACATACGTTTCATCTATTACTAAAGATTGGTAAATCATTTCTTGTCTGGCACAAATCCATTGAGGAATAGAGGGGAATAGGGTAACAATTGCAATCAATTCATAAGCACGGATATCTCTGAACATTGAGCAAACGAAAAAACGTTCACTTTTTAAAGTTTTCATTCGGGGAATCCACATAAATAGAGATTCTTCCACGAGAAAAGAAATAAGAGAACGGAATAACAAGAATCAAGGACACCCTTAAAGCTTTGGTTTTCAAATTAGATAAAAAACTCAATTACAAAAAAAACAGGGCAATAAAAAAAGCTCACTTTTTTCCGATGATCAGGCTGCATGATTTCTACAGTCTCACCAAAACCCTAACAAAACCAGCGATTGGAAAAATCAGCTCCCCCGAATCAACGCCTTCAAATTCAAAAAATAAAAGGTACAAGAATTACGTTCAACAATTCATCCGCATTTTCCCCACCGACCTCGGCTCCGGATAGTTAACGAGCAATCCCACCTAATCCTTCTTGAATTATCCCAGACGAACAAATCCAGAGACTCAAAATCCCTCATACACTCCTCCCCTCTGAACGACGGCCCAGAACTTCTCCCCACCACCTCCCCCAATGCCCCTCCAAGAAATCCCTATTATATATACACGTATATATCAAGATTTTGGATAGGGTAGATCTGAAGTAACCCCAGAGGGTGGTGGAAGAGCGGGATCTGGCACCGACAATCGGCGTATAAGAGAGGGGGTTGGAGTATAGATACAGAGCGGAGGCAGATAGAGATAGAGAGATAAAAAAGGGACGTTTAGAGGGAGAAAGAGAGAAGGGAATGTATAAGAAATGTGGGTGTGTATATATAACAGCTGGAAATGGCAGAAAGATAGATGACGATACCCGGTAAGTACTCCGTATTCCATACGTATTTATCTACTTTTTCCTTGTGACGTCTTTATCCGGATTTGTACGGAGATTAAATTAAATCTTCTCATACCATTTGCATATCACTAATTAACTACGGAGTAGTTTTTAATTAGTGATAGAAATAGAAATAGGAATGGTTTATAATTTTAAAATTTTATTTTGATCATATTTTTAATAAATGGAAGTTAATTCAATCCATTAAGGATAGCGAAGATTTTCATTCCATGAAAATACCTTCAAAGTTCAAATCGATAGTGGTTATATTAAGAGGCCGTTTGACAACCCTCATTTTCTGCTTATCAGGTTTATCAGCCAACTTTTTTACTAAACACGTAAACTTTGCTTTCGCGCGCTTAATTGTGTAATAAGCCGAAAAAGTAAGGTTGGAGTTACTTTTCTGGCTGTATTGGCTGAAGTTACTGTAGATGATCATTTTAGCTATTTTTACATATAATTTTTTCTTTATTTTATTAATAACATATATTTTAAAAATATTTTTTTCTTGTATCAGCAGAATCAGCCAATGCAGCCACTTCAGCCAGAACTTCATAAATTTCAGCAGAATCAGCCAAAACAACCGATTTTCGTGCTGCCAAACGGGCTCTAAAACTTTTTAGTTACTACCTCCGTCATGGTTATCAATAAAATGGTTGAAAAATATTTAGAAATTGCTCTAAATAGGAATAAAAACGTTTTGAAATTTCAAAATAGGAGTATCATGTTTTTTATTCCCTGAATATGAATAATCTTCCAAGTTTGGGAAAAAATGTCATGTTTTAAAGCCTATTAATGCCAAACTTGGCAAAAGTTTACTCCTATTCAAGGAATAAAAAGCATGATACTCCTATTTTCGAATTTCAAAACTTTTTTACTCCTGTTTAGGGAATTCACCCAAAAATATTTCATCCCATTTTATGTGTATCACTTTGACTTGGTACGATTATTAATAAAGTGGTTGAAAAGTAAAAGTTGTGGTTTGTGTATAATAAAGTGAAATAGTATAAGCCAGATTATTCTTTCCAAAAGAGGAACGAAGACACTTATTTTGGGACAACCCAAAAAGGAAAGTAGGACAGGTAAAATGGGACGGGGGAGTATTATTTAAGATTCTCACACCATATTAGCATGGTCTATTAGGATGTTCTTTTGGACAGAAATTTACTGGTCTGTTCTGGTATGATCTGAATTGGTTTTGTCTGGTTTGGTAAATGTCTGGTCTCTGTGTATTTTATTTTATAATTATGGAAGTCTGGTCTGATATGGGTTGATCTGGTCTGGTCTGATATATGGCTGAAAACAGTTCAAAAGAAAACATCCTTACTCATTGATTTTGAATAATAATTTTCACTATAAACAAACTTCATTTAGGGGTTCAATAGACTTTCAATGTTCTCAATAGCTTTCTTATTATTATACGGTTCATAAAAAATAAAACAATATGTATGTTCGTGTATAATATTGTACAACTATATAAAATAGGTTAAATTTTTTTATACATTCATGAAATGGATGAATATGTGGACGTGTTTTAAACGTTTCACAATTTAAAAGTACGCTATATAATAAGTGTCTTCTATACTAATTTTATGATAGAAATTAAGAGTAATTTAACCTATGCACCACATTGTTGAATAGTTTAAAATGACATTGCCTATTTGAATAGAAGTAGAGAGATATTATTACTAGAGAAGAGTTGATATTAATGTGGTAGTGAGTTTGGTGAGTCGCCGCAATAGTCTTTTTCTCTTTGGAGTCATGCTATGGTGAAGCACAAGAGTAACACAATAGTAATATCTAAACGGATTGTGTCTTTAAGGAACTAATTTATTAAAACTAGTGTCTATTAAACAATTAATGAACGTATAAGGCATAATGATTTTTAAGCAGTATAAATAGTATTGAGCAATTAGATATTTCGCTTCAATTGTATCACTTCATTAGGATTCATTAATGGTATGTGTTTTTGAATATAATACATATCAATACGTAAGGTACGTGTATTATACATTGTATTGTTAAAGTACATGATTTTTTCAGAATTTTTTGAAAAATTCATAAACGGAAATATTATACGTGAATTATATGTTTGAGTGTATTATACATGAATTATACTCGGATAAACTAACAAAGCTTTGTAGGATTCAAATATATATCGCGGCCATTTAAGAGGTTAGAGTTACTTTTCTAGCTAAATTGGTTGATGCTATTTTTTCATTTTATTTTTTTCATTAATTTTATTAATAAAATATAGGTTAAATAATATTTTTGTATGATTCAGCCACTTCAACCATAAATTTCAATGGATTCAATCGATTCAGCCAAATTCAATATTATCGAACGGGCCTTTGTCAAAGTATACATGTGTGTAAATGAATTATGAATTATGTCATGATGATGATGCAGAAATGCAAATTATGCATACGTGAATTATATGTTTGAGTGTATTATACATGAATTATACTCACTAATTTCAAAAAGATACATGAATTATACACAGATAAACTAACAAAGCTTCGTAGTATTCAAATATATATCGCGACTGTTTAAGAGGTTAGAGTTACTTTTCTAGCTAAATTAGTTGAGGTTATATAGATAACAATTTAGCTACTTTTTCATGTTACTTTCCTTAATTTTATTAATAAAATATATTTTAAGTAATTTTTTTGTATGATTCATCAGCCACTTCAACCAGAATTTCAAAAACTTCAACGGATTCAATCGATTCAGCCAATTTCAATATTATCGAACGGGCCCTTGTCAAAGTATACATGTGTGTAATAAGCTAAGTGAATGTCATGATGATGGTACAGGTGAATCAAAAACGATTTTTTTTACGAATTTTGGTTGTGTATAGTATGTGTACTTGGAGGCTTATGAGGAAATATTAATTAGTATACTGGCATTAAAAGTGTGCCTTTATTTGTAGTCTAAAAAATGTTCTCAACTATGACTTTGATGGATTTTAAAAGATTATGGATTTTTGAAATCCGATGGGTGCCTACAAGATTTGTGATGAAATGTTTTGTATGTAGAAATCCACCAAAATTCATCCAAATAAGTAATAATAAAAATCCACGGAATTTGAGAACACCATTATTTCCATGGATTCCACACAAATCCAAATCAGGGACACCTAAATTCTGACGGAATTCTAAACTCCATTAAAATCATACAAGATCCATATTGGGGACATCTCCTAACTCTGTATTAGATAAAAACGTTTGTATTTTTTATCACTGCTTTCTTAACTTCAGAATTAGAAACTAATTGTCTTCATTGTTCTCCCGAGTCTCAAACAAAACGGACCTTTTACCGTTTACTACTTGGTTGTGTCTCCCTTGTGAATTACTCTATATATCTTAACGCTCACATGTTTGGTTTTGGTTGGACTTGCTATATTTTTAGAAAATTTTCATGCTTATTTACACCAATGTGTGCAGATCAAGTACATCATGACTAACCACAATATCAAAAGTAGTATCAAGATGTTCGTGGTGATAAACTATTGGGGGTTATAGGTGGTGGATCAAGTAGACTGGTCGTGGAGCGATTGTCGGGACGAGGGAGAGACTAGTTGCAAGCAGTTGTAGTGTTAGCAGTTGTTACTAAAAAATAGATCACTGGTCACTAGGAGAGCGGCGCTGAATCATTAAGAATGCGAATTAAGACCTTGGAAGGAGGGGGGGGGGGGGGGTAGTCACTGACCGACGATGGTCACTGGGTGGCTCCATTAGTCATTGACAACAATAATCACTTTCTTGTGGTTTAGATTGCTAATCGGCAGATGACTAGAAATGACATCTCATCATAATCATTGGGTGGTAGTTACTATATTTTAAAAAATGATATAAATGTGTTATTAGATATTTTTCCATTGCTTAATTTTTAGTATTATATTTAAACTCCTATATTATATTGTGTACATATGGTTTGCGAAAATAATGAGTGACATGTGTAAATCAATCTTCATATTGAAAAAATAATCTCATCTTCAAAAGATACCTTATAATTGATGAGATAGTTTGCTATGAGGACCTTATTGATATAAAACAAACTAATTGTACACTAAAAGTGCACACTTTTTGTACACATTTCCGCTAGTTGATTGTGTTTAATGAAAGCTCGTATAGAAAAAATCGGTAATCATTTGCAATTGCATGTGTACACAGACAAGTGTAGAAAAAGTGTACATTTTTTATACACACCAAGAATTACTCATTGATGTACAATCATAAATTCTATAGAGGGTGAAGACATCATGGATCTCTAATAATTTTCAGTGGCCATGTTAAAAAGGTTAATTTAAAGTCTCATACTACAAATATAAGTGTAAAACTACATTATACTCCGTATACAGTAAAAAATCACATAGTTCAATAAAATTAAAAATATCAATTTTATTTTTTCAAGCTATCAAAAATCTAAACTAAAAAAATAATAGATAACTATAACAGTAATTTCTAACAATCAATTCATTAATGCTATAAAATGAAAATTTGATCAACAAATATTTGAGTTTACTTTTAGGACAATCTTGGATTTAGACATCTTAACGATGACATTTCCTATTTTCGAATATCCGATATTATGCTCTACATCATATTGCTCCGTATAATTCTAGTATATACTACTAAACATTGAAAGCATTGGGACCACAATACTTGGTGAACCCAGTTACATACTCCGTATAAAAGTGGTACAACATGTGTATTTCGGCCTTTTGAAGTTCTACATGCAATAAAATATATTGCATAAGTAGTTTGTCATGTAAGATTTGCAACATATGAAAATAAAATATTACGCGCTCTTGTGTAAAAGTAAAAACAAATTGAAGTAAAGTAAAAGTCCTCTCTTTGACTCAATGATGTAGACGGACAAATGTACTCATGATTTAAAGCTCTCATTTCAAGAGTTATCCTTGTCAAATGATTACCAGAGTGG